GTCCTCGTCGTAATGGCCAGGTGCGGCGGTGGCGCTCGACGACTGCTGTTCTTCCTGCTGCTCTAGCAATTCCCATTTGCTCGACGTCATTGCTATAGCGGAAACAACGATAAACGTTCACATGCAGCAATGATGGCGAATAAACACTGTTACCCTGCTGTTCGACCAACTCCGGCTCTACCTCCTCCCATTTAGAACGAACAAACATATTCTTTGACGATTTTACGGGTGACATCGCTTTCGTTTCAGTTCCGCCCGACGTCTTCTGAAAACCTGACGATGGTGATGAAGACTCGTCCTCCTCTTCCACTACAACATACAAAACTTACGACCAGATCAAAGCAGGCGAACAAATAAAAATGATGAATGAAAATGAATTAAATTAATAGCATACAAAGATTTGCGAATGAGTGATTGACTACAAAACGACGTTGTCAGTCTTGCTACAACTTACATAGTAATTGGACCTATCAGGTGGGTGACACGCAAAATCACGTATCAAATATCCCATCATGTGCGAATTTATAAAATAAAAGTAATACATAATGAAAGCGACATTTTGAAAAGTTTGTTGTGCGGGGGTTCATTACAAGGAAGGCTTTTATGCAGTTTTTGAGGCCGTCTGCATTAGGAGAATGTCTCTTATTAGAACTGTAAGCTGCCCTTTCAGGTGTTCAACACCTCTGCTCTTAGGCAGCAGTTGCAATACGTATCCGGTTAAACACCGTTAGATTAACACTTCATGATTCCATCACGTACGACCCGCGAGATTATTAAATTAGGACACAGTTGCCATTACGGTTTCACGGTTTATGTTGTGCACATGAGCCACATGTCCACGGGAACGTGGGCTACGAGGCAATGAACCAAATCAGTACAATAAGTCGCTGTATTTCTAGACGTATATTGATGATAAGGTTTACAGAGAAAAAATGAAGAACCCCGTGGAAGGGACAGAAGATTTGGGATACTGTTGATCCCACCATTCTTGTCCATAGCGAACAAAATCGTCGAATTTATCTTGGTAACGCTTCGGCAAAATCTACTGTTAATACAGCAAACGAGCAATATGACCCGTATCTGTGGACATCTGCACAGCATAAACAGTGAAACATTAACAGCGGCACAGCCTGAACTTGATGTTCTCAGGCGTCGTACAAAATGGACGATGTTGACACGATGTCACAACGCTGACGCGACTACCCTTTCGTTTCATTCACTGTCGAACACCTTATCGGTGTGGGCAAAGAAATAAGACGACTCAGCCAGCAGTCAACTTCGTCCATCGCATGTCCTTTCGGGTCCCGGAAGTAGCACTGTGAGACGGAGTCTCCAACTTTCCTGACCCTGTACCAGCAACTGAGCTTCGGCAGAAGACAAGCTGCTTCAGGAGCAGAGACAGACGAGATTTGCCCCGGATCATTCTTATCCGCTCTCTGAGCCATCTGATGGCCGGTAGAACAACTAGCAGCAGTTTCGCCTTTCTGGAACCGTTCACAAAACGGGCGCACAGTCACATCAGTGACCTCTCAATTTGGAGAAGCAGCACCTATACACCAAAACTTAATAATCTCCGGACTTTGCAGGATGCGTACGCGTCAATTATGCAAAAAGAAACGAGTCAACGGCTAAGCGAAAGTTTACCACTGTTTTAAATTTGGGTGTCTTAACCGTGCCTCAAAAAACTCTTTACCTGACAAATAATGGAACCATAAACAAAAATCCTAATATGCACGTCATTCCATTAATACATCTTTCCCTCGTTTAATTCGTTCCATGAAACCAGCTAGTAAAGTGAGCATTCATAAGCGAAAGCGAAATTCCCATTAACTTCAAAACGAAAAATCTGACTGATTTGTGGCTCCCAGAAAAATCCCCAATATTTTACAAAAGCATGCTAGAATACTATATAATCACAAAAATTAACGGTATTAGCTTTATAATAATTATTATCTATTCAACCATATAAGGAATCAAAAAAGTGTTAAGTCAATCGCTTATATTGTACAGTAGTTACATTAAAAACATCAGAGCAGAGGTAAACAAAGAAAACGAACAACTGTCTGTATTAAAAGCTTAATTACTGTACGCGTAAAAAAAATATTAGAAACGTAGCTCTGTGTTCAAACAAGAATTGTTGCTGTTATAACATGTAGCAAAATACTGAAAAGTTAGGAATTCAGCTGGTCACCAATCATATACGCACTGTTTGTATCATATATAAACACCTCAAAGCAAATATCACAACACAGCTGCATGCAACAATGACGGGGCAGTGTGCCTCACATTTTCAACGCGATGCGCATTGCCGTATTCCTCAGCGACCGAAAATACGAAGTAGGATGCCTGGAGGAAAGTTGGTTCTTCGTGGCGATGAAAATAATGTTCAGAAATCCAAAACCATAAATTTACGTGGGTAAATGTAGCGAAAATTCGCCAATCAGAAGTTATTAAATCGAAAAATCGAAACTGGTTTAAGAATTCATACATTCACTTAAAGAACAACTCTGTGGGAGAGCTGAGGATTTCAATGAAATCTAGCAGAAAAAGGTCTGGGCAATAAAAGCACTCAGGTAGCGAAAATTTTTCACCAAAATTATGACATGCTAAGTTTGAAAAGATTATACGGAAAACATTAAACGCATTAAAATTTAATGTACTTGGAACACCGTCTATGTCGTAATCAACGAGGGGCTTGGATACAAGTGAAGTTTTCTCTTGAACGTGCTCAAAAACAGACAAGGGTTCACCATCGAAATCAGAAGACGGTAAAATAGCTGACTCGCTTGGCTTCTCTTCCTGAAAATAAAACGTGTCACTAGCAGACGACTCCGGATTACGACTTTCTCTAGAAAAACGATTAATGAATTGGGAAGACGTTGGAATGATGAATTAGTAGCACAGAAACCAATCAAATACATTGAGCATGTAAGCAAGTAGTCCACAACTCTCGCAGAGGGCAGGGTTGTAACTTAAGAGGATCTAAATATCGTTACAGCATTGAGTAGAGAAGGGACAGCCGCATGTCCCACGCTTTCCTTCGCTATGCTCTGAAGTCCATTGACAACCTTCTCGAAATACCAGAGACATAATAGGCGCAAGTCGAACACTGCAATAAAGATAACAGCGAACCGTTAAGGTGAATCCAGTAACGGTCTCATGAGTCTACCACTGTTTCCGCAAAATAACCATCAAGGAATTTAGTCCAGTCAACTCATGGTATTCAATGAAGACTGCTATAGAGAATTTGTCAAGTTATTTGAGCCAGAAGCACCCAGAGGAATTGTCTGCAATATAAAGTACAAGTACAAGATGCAACAGAGCACGGATCTGTCACATATATGGTCAGACTTCCACGAAAAAAATGTTCAACTACCGAGTACAAGGAGAAAATGGTGTACATCCCATTACACTTATTCTAGAAGGGTTACAGGAAGCAGATGTGAAAAGTGGTGCCTGATTCCGCTTTTTGAGTTTGAAATATACCGTGTAGCTGAATCGATATGAAAGCAATAATAGAAGATGACGGAGGACACGGTAAAGAGTCATACTTCAAAATTACCCCAATGACACTTGCGCGACGTAGAAACTCTCTAGGTTTCTGACTATACCGCACTTGCCATGAGTTCTGACAGACCGTTTGACGCTTTTGCGCAATTTGTTTGCTTTTGCAACTGACTTTAAATCCATGGTCTTGCTGGCGAGCAATTCACAGCGCAGTAGACGCATTCCGCTGCACTGAGCTGGGAGACTTAACTTGAGATGACGTGTTAACGGGAAGCACCAACGACAAAACACGAAAGTCATCTTCTGAAGAAAGCAACGCCGTTACCTCTAAAAGACCTAAGAAAATATTCTGTAGCCTGGACAGAAAGTCCGCCGGGTAGATGGCCGACTCTTCCCAGGCGCGAAAGCACATCATCACGCGCTGCCTGAACTGCTCCGCCTTTAGGCGCGCACCGATATGACGGTACACCTTTCCGAAACTTGAGAATATCTCTTCCATAGAGCTGCCGAAGCTAAAGAAAAGCAGTCATTTTAGTACGTCGAATGCACGACGCGCAGGCAACAAGCAAACGTACTATTTACGGTAGTAGCTGACGTTCAACACCTTTGCACTGCAATTGGCCAGAATGTCAGAAAGTAAATAGAGACGGGCGATCTGAAACGAGATCATAATTTTCGCCATCATATCACAGACAAGAAAATGTGGTCACCAACCTTCTTCGGCAGAGGCGTTTCATCAATAGTCAACGACTCGGTAATGACCTGCGCTATTTCGCAAGCAGCCTCGGCATGCTCTACGCAGAACACCATGACCTCACCGACTTTGCTTTGTTCCATTGTCAAATGGCGCAGAAGATCTTCCAGAACTTCGCGCTGACTAAAAAATAACATCATGCTTGAAA